GTGAGTTACGCACAGACTAAGTACCTACACTGTATACCTACATGTACTCACACACAAATGGTTATAAATCATCCCTGCAATATCTAATCCTATTATTTTTAGCACGTTGCGATTATTACCTACGAATTATAAAAATAAATTATAATATCAGTAACGAGGGATTTTGAAATACGAATGTCAAATAATATTATATTGATAATTATTGATGTTAAAATAAAAGTTTAAAATAAAAAAAACATACGCATTTTATCGTTCAATAATATAGTAATGATAAATATTTAAATTGTTTGAACTATTGTTGTGGGCCATATCGAAAAGGTTCGCGGGACGCGTGTTTGAGACCACTGATATATAAGTTCAACTCACATTTTTAGTAGGACACGTTGGTTTTTTAGTTTTCTATTTCTATTTTTTTTTTTTTTTAAACTATTTAAGTCTATCTATTCAACCAAGCTCGATGGGTTTGGTCAACTATATTACATATTATATACTCATATGCAATCATAGAAAAAAATATTTATTTCGTCATCAGCTTTTAAAAAYATATTATAATCATTATTATGGTGTCAAGTGGTTCGTGTCGTGTACAGGTGTTTAAAATTTTAATATAATCGTATATTATGGTGACTTTAGATACGTTATTATGTTGTTCGTTTCCGATAGATTTTCCGGTAGCATAATATCCCATTTATACGACGATGATGTTGCGCTAGAACGTTATAAATTATTTATAATATTTCAACAGTCCGCGGATGTCTTCGTCGCATGTACACCTGCCTCTCGTCGACTTCCCGTCGCAGTGGCATAAAATTATACTATACAAAAGGTGTACAAGCATAACTACTCAACACCGGCTAAGAGTTAGGACCGTGGTAGTGGTATACGGTGTACATGTATATATATTATATAGGTGCATATTATAGTCTATTAACTCGACATCCTGTCCCTCGGTGACAAGTGCCCGCCGTAGTGGAACACGCGCGGCGTACAACCGTAATAATAAATTGTATCACCATATTAAAAACTATAATACGCGACGATGACGGTGTCACACGTCGTGACCATAGACAACAGTGTTTTAATGATATTTTATTTTCACGAAAAACCAGCTCGTTTTCGTGTGTACGCGCTTATAGTTAGTGTTATATTTTGACGACTATAGCAGATTTAAACCGTTGCAAGTTTCGTTCATTAATATACCGATCTAGATAGTACCTATTGTATATATGTATACAATATATATATATATATATATAGGTCAACGCAGTGGCATATCTATAGGCGGTGGGCTAGTGGACTGCAACCCCCCGAAGTTACAGTAATTACTTATTTGTTTATATTTTTACGTTGATAACATCATTGCCCAGCTACTGCCTCTCACTATATAGTACTATACTAGGCAATAAACAACCACATCGACGACTGACTGACGATGAGTGTAGAACAGACTATACGAACTGTTAAATATATACACAGTAATAGCTTCTAAGACAGCGTTTCACAGCCTATATGGTACGCAGAAAGCCCATGGATGGTATACGCTAAAAAAATGTCCCTTCATAAAAAAAAAAAAAAAAATTAAATGCACCATTAAATATATTAAATATTATTATTATACGTAATACGCGTGCATAAGATTCTTCGTCGGGTATAATGCGAGTCAATATACGCTATATATAGACATTATATTATATAGATGGTGATGATTAGTTTTTTTATATTATTATMACGCGAAAATATACTTTTTTTTTTTCATTCACTAATGATCTTGTCATCTTYCGTGTTTTACGCTCGCTCGCGACCGCGGGTGCGTTTTAGACCGTGTGAATTCKGACTTTTATCGCGGATTTGGCTTGTTTATATAATATAATATAAATATATATAGTTAACCCTGCACTTGCTTGTATTTGTTTTGTCTTTTTTGATTTGTCGACCAAAATTAAATCGCGATATCTTGCCGAGGGGGCGGTGAAACGGACAGATTATACACATATAAATGTTACCGTGAGAACGTGATTCCGTGTCAGCTGCCCCTCGTCGGTCGCGAATCGGCGCCACCCTTTTCCCACGATTCGCCACCAACCACTGCCGTTTTGACGAGCATCGGTCGCGCTTTATAGATAGTACGGCGGCCCCCGCGCGCGCGTTTATAATATTATATTTATACGCAAACACCACCGCCGAACACACGACGATTTATACTGTGTTTGTYATTATTTTTATTATACCATTTATACCATTATAACGCTGAAACCCGTATAAATGAGCCGCGAAACGATGTCGTGGCGAGTACCAGCTATTGCGCGATGACAGTCGTTTTACAATAATTATATATATTAGGCTTGTAGAAAATGAAATATTCAAAATAGTTTTCGAACGGTTTCGGCAATTCAATAAGTTTATGGGTTAATTTAACACTTTGGTTGTATCATTATACAATGCTGGGAGGRCAGTATTAGTGAGATGTCCAAAAGGGTTCAGTTTCCGAAAACYGCGTACAAATGATAATATTATGCAATATTACCACAAGCCTGCAGTGATGATGATCCGTACGCGTATAAAAATTGATCGTTCACACTCAATTAAACGTTATGTATATTAAAAGTATAGTGGTGGGAGGTTTGACCGAGTTTTTTTAGGTGGTTGTATATTATTGTAAACCGCGAAATGTAATAATTTATAGTCATTTATGAGCAGAGCTATTATTTATCGCGGTATACATATATAGGCACTCATCATCATAGTAGGTAAAGAGTAATAATTTAAATTCTCTAAAAACTATCGCAAAAAAGCTTTGGTAAATATATCCGAAAATTACCTAAATCTTTTCCGAGGATTCCCAAGAAATGATAAAATGAAAATTTCCAAATTAAATACCATCGTAATATTACGTAACTATTATATAATATTAATGTATAACAATACAAAACACAATAATTTAAACATAATATAACTAATAATATGATTTGTTTTTTTTTCACACGCAGGTCTGGACACGTTGGCCTACGATCCGTCCAAGTACGCGATGGACTACCATAACATCGGGTTCAGGGAATGTGCCACTGAGGTGGCCAGATACTTGGAGTCGGTGGAGGGCATGAACGGCCGGGATCCACTGCGCGAACGGTTACTGTCGCATTTGCAGTACTTTGCGGCGCAGCGCGAGTACGCGGCCAAGTCGCCGGCCACTCCGGGACACCTCAACGGCCCGCCACCGCCACCAAGTTGGTACGGCGGTCATCACGTCGGGGCACCGCCGCCGCCGCCACCGCCGCCACCGCCTACACTTCCGCCGGCGCACCATTACCCGTCGACGACGTCGCCGCACCAACAACAACAACAACAGCATCCTCCACCGTTGACCCTTCCTCCACCGCCGCCACCGCCCAGCCACAACAACAATAATTACGAGACGTCGGCCACGACCATAGACGGTATCAAGTCAGCCGCGGAAGCGGACACAACCGGTCTCACCACCCTGTCGTCCGTCCCGGCGGATTATCACCATCACCACCATCATCACCAACAGCAGCAGCAACAACACGAACAGCAGCAGCACCACCACCGCAATCGCGACGACTACCAGCACCAACACCAGCACGGCGGTGGTGCCGGCAACCAATTGCACAACTTGCAACCTGTTCAACCGCCTCCGCAACCGCCGTCGGGCTATCACGAAGCTGCCATGCACCAACAGCACCACCAACAACAACAACAACAATACCAATCCGATTCGTCCGTTTCCGCGCAGATGAAACCCTACAGGCCTTGGGGCGCTGAAGTGGCGTACTGAATAACACTCTTCCCAATCGTACCGTTTACGATTACGCTCATTTCGTTAATATTAATAAGTGGCGTRCGAGTAACGTACCTATATGACAACTTTATCAGAGTTTTTGTCTTCTGACATTTTTAACTACTGTCAATTATTACCTATTTATATGATTATTATTATTATTATTATTATTATCATAAACGTATTCTAGTCAACGACCTTAACCAAAGCCATTATTGTTTTTTGTACTTATATAAATATTTTTATATTATAGCAATAATATTAACGTCACAAGTCGAAGTGCGATTACAGCGAATAATATTTCGGCCAACCTATATATATATATATGATTATTGTTTCGCGTTCACTATTCATCATATAAATATTATATATTATTATCATTGAATAATTAACTCGTCGCTGATGATTGCAATCGATGGGTGGCATATTTTTTAAAGTTTTATGTATATTATTTATATTTTTTTGTGTACCTACTTTAAAAGTCTTACACCTGCAGGAGAGTTTTATTTTGTACACGCAAAACAATCCTATTTTCATTATTAATATATAATATGATATTTATAAAGATTATATTTTTTACGACGATATAATAAAAAAATATTTGTTAAACGTATTGTTTTTTGTACTTAACATAATATATATATTTTTCAAATCTAATTACTTTTTATTTGATATTAATTTTCAAATAATGACATATTATATTATGTACCTACCCTATTATATTACATCGCTCGCGTAAAACTGTTGACATGCCGCGGTCGGTAATTGCAAGTAAGTGCCTATACTTTGAAYTAGGGGTATAAAATACGTTTTTTATTTTCATTAAAAACAACTAAACTTCGCAGAGTATTCGGCAGACACCACTGCATGTATGACATCATTGGCTATTGAGGATCAAGACGATCGGATATATCACATCGCACAGCCTGTATGCATCACAAAGATCGAATCGCCAAAAATATATATAGCTGATGTTATTTGATTACTTCGAATGGTGGTGTGTCGTGCTGCTCTATACACGCCGAGCATTAAAAATGTGTACCCCGCCATTGTGTTCTTGTCTGTTTTCAATAATATTTCATAAAGAGAGGATTAGCCGAGCTCGTTTGAAAATAAACAGCATATCACGCGTTTACGTGCATATATATATATATATATATACACATATATTGTACACTATATAATATATTTTATGCTATTCTTTTGAAGCTTTGCGCGGCGTTACGTCGGTCACGTGTCTTTCTCATTAGTCTAAACTTGTTAA